AGAGAGGAAGATCCTAAAGGAGTACCTTAAAGAAAAAAAGATACGCTTTGGCATTGTAAAGTTTTAAGTTAACTGTTTGCAAGCCACCCACAATAAACCAGATGCTTTCTTTCATTCTGAGTGCTCTTTCGATCTGATGTCCTATCTGAAAGGACTTGAAAATTCAGCAGCAATCCGACATGATGCTTTTCCTTCTAGGCTACATACTGCAAATTCCCAGGAAACGTAAAATAAACAGGAAAAGCACAAATACATTGACTTTCTAATGGGTTACACAATGCAAAATACCACAAAATCTTTTCCTGTTTATTTAATGTTGTGCACACCTTTAGTTTCACTCAAAGCAAGCAGCGAATTAGCCAGTACTGTGATACTCACTAGGTCTCCTCTCACTCTCTTCAAAATGACTAAACAGAACGAACGAACATACATGCCTATAACCGTGCAGCCTATGCTGCGACCTGCAGCAGTGGTTGCAATAGGACACGGAGCTTTGCGGCTCCAAACAAGTCAGCAGGGTTAGTTAAAGGGCACTGGAACTACTGGGGCTGTTAGTGGGGAGCCAGTTTGACATCCCAAAATGAGAGAAGAGCCTTCAGTATCTTGGGACACTGGGAACAGTGCAATGTCTTTTAGCCTCCAACACTAATTTTTACATTTATTCCCTCTTCCTTCACTGGGAGAGAGATGCTAGTTCTCCCTGTCACTCCGGCAGAACAGAGAGAGCACACACGAAAGAGAGCAGCGACTTCACCCGCTTTTCTCCTTGGGCAATACTGCCAATGACTAGCATCAGGAGGGTTTCTGTTCTAAGAGCAGGAATCTTTGATTGGGCTATGGAGAGCACTCATGAAATCAAGAAGAACAAACAGGTCATTATTCCCAGGAGTTTTTTTCTTTACCTGGAGAGACAGTTCTTGAATTCGGTGCTACCTAAGGCGCTGTACAGTCTGAAAACAAGCTATGACTATTATAGAACACTGGGTTGTCGTCTTTTTCTTTTTTTGGTTGAACCATCAAGTCATGAAAAGTTGACTAATGCAAAATAAGAACTGGAGCAATTTGTGTAACAATGAAGAAAATTTTGCTCAAGCCAGCACTTTGGAGTTGCTAGTAAAAGCAAACAACTAGATTCGCAAAACAGAGCTTTTATTGTTATTTCACAGAATCACAGAATGTTAGGGTTGGAAGGGACCTTGAAAGATCATCTAGTCCAACACCCCTGCTGGAGCAGGACCACCTAGAGTAGGTCACACATGAACGCGTCCAGGTGGGTTTTGAATGTCTCCAGAGAAGGAGACCCCACACCCTCTCTGGGCAGCCTGTGCCAGGGCTCTGTCACCCTCACAGGGAAAAAGTTTTTCCTTATGTTAATGTGGAACCTATGGAAGCTTTCCTGCTCCTTTGTATCTTGCAGCCCAATGACATGGATATCCATCTGGGACATGGGGGATTCATGGTCAGATTCCCTTCCTGTTGGAATCAGACCAGAGACTGGGCCCTGGGTGTCCCTCTGAGCACCAGCTTGTCCCCAAATCTTCATACACAACAGCCATTCTGCAGCCCATGAAATAGGTCACATGGCCTCAACACGAAAGTCAGTGACACTCAATAGTCGGGTACCCTATGTTCCTGAAAAAGGTCACTCTCTCCTGCTCTGACTCACAAAAAGGACTTCAACCAGGGTTGGCTAACTACCCATTGCCTCCAACAGTCCATTACAGGAGAGAAGGGTACCTTCTCCAGAGATAAAGAATGGCACCTAAATCTAAGCCAAGCCTCAAAACAATGCTTAAAAATGTTCAGCAGATTTCAGATTTCCAAAATTTATTATTTTTTTCCTCTTTTGGTGGGACTAGCTGAAAATCAGCACATGGCTTGCCATACTCAAACTTTAGGGAGAAGACAAGAAGCCATTTCTCATGGGATGCGATATCAGGGGCAAATCTCAAGGCTTTCCTAAACATAACATTTCAATACACTACTGCTGAGAAAGTCTCAAAAACCCCCTGCCCACCAGTGTCTTGTGCTGTGGTGCTTTCTTAGCCATAACCACCTGATTTCCTCTTCCAGGTTGTTCTTATATCATTCATCATAATACAACACCATCTATTTTCAGGTGACCAAATTTCTAGCTGAGTCCCTACGTTAGCTAGCTGCCCTTGGAGATCTGAAACTGGCGAATATAAATCTCCAGACACAGGAGCTTTGGTCTAATTTAGACCACATGTAAGTATACTCTGTCCTTAAGAGCAAATCGGCAGAGATATACTGGCCTTGTGAAATAAAAGAATAAGCAGAAAATGACATCAATTTGAAGCACCATCTCACACAGGTGAGAAAATCGAGAAAAGCTTGACAAATACAGAAAATCTTAAAGTTTTTACGGGCAGAAATGCTCTCCTTTTAAAGGCAACAGTTACTTCCATTTGTTTAGAAACGTTGGGAAGACCAGCACAATACAGCCAACTCCTGAAAGCGTTGCTATCGAGGAAAGGAAGAAATGTGGGCTCTTATTAATTAAAAGACGTTTCTATGAACTACCTTAGGGTGACCTGAGCCACAGGACAAGTTTGACGCTTTATGTAAGGGCAACTGCTGTGGTTCAACCCCAGCCGGCAACTAAACCTCACGCAGCCACTCGCTCGCTCCCCCCTGGCGGGGTGGGGGAGAGAATCAGAAGGGTAAAAGCAAGAAAACTCGTGGGTTGAGAGAAAGACAGTTTAATAGGCAAAGCAAAAGCCGCACACACGAGCAAAGCAAAGCAAGGACTTGATGTGCCACTTCCCAGGGGCAGGCATCTCCAGGAAAGCCGGGCTCCGTCACGCGTAACAGTGACCACAAACGCCATCACTCCAAACGTCCCCCCCTCCCTCCTTCTTCCCCCAGATTTATAGGCTGAGCATGACATCATATGGTCTGGGATGTCCCTTAGGTCAGTTGGGGTCAGCTGTCCTGGCTGTATCCCCTCCCAACTCTTTGTGCACCCCCAGATCCACTCACTGGTGGGGTGTGAGGAGCAGAAAAGGCCTCGGCTCTGTGTCAGCACAGCTCAGCAGTGACTAGAACATCCCTGAATTACCACCCCTGTATCCAGCACAAATCCAAACCACAGCTCCGGACCAGCTACTGTGAAGAAAGTCAACTCTAGCCCAGCCCAAACCAGCACAGCAGCCAAACACTGCCTAACTGAGCTGAGAATTATCGTGTTAAAACAGGGCACGGGTTTGTAAGGAGAAAATCTTGTCTTCCTATAGCACAGCTTTTCTACATTCACACAGACAGTTGGCAGGGGATCCGACCATCGACCTGCATCCTCTCAGTCAGTCCTCCCCTCATCCTTATCAGGAAGACCATCGAGAACAAGCTCCAGCTATTCGTCTCTATCTAATATAAATATCTAATATAAATAACCTAAATATAGATATAAATATCTAATATAAATAACCTAAACCAATGATAGGTGCTATATACATGTGAGCATGTAACCTTCTCTATAAGTATATATGGAGAGAGACAGCACCTGTCCTTGATTTGTAGATATATAAATGCACACACATACATATATACATTGCATGTGTACACACACACGTACAGGTATTTATAACACATACCCTCCCACGGCCGGAGGGTTGGAACTAGATGATCTTTAGGGTCCCCTCCAATCCGAACAGCTCTATAATTCTATAATACATGTATGTAAGTGTGCATGAATGCATGTCTGTGCATGTTTATATCTATAGGAGTCAAAACCACGTTGTGAATGTTCTTTCTCACTTTAACGTATCACTCGTTTTGAAAATTTTTCATCCAGAACAAAGCAACTCCAATGGGTTATTCTGGACTTCAGAGTTTTATCAAAGGAACTAGAATCTGGACCTTAAGGAACCCTTTCCAATTGCAGAAAACAATGAACAGAAAGTAATAAAAGACTTAAAACACTTCTCTTAAGAAGCAGAGAGTTAATGCTAGAACGTGTATGCACTAACCCTTCGCCCATATGCAGGAAGGAAGCTCACCATGTAAATACTGAAGCCAAAATCTTGGCCCCACAAATAGCAGCGGGAATCGGCCCACTTAGAGTTTCTGTATCTGCCACTGAGCGTTTTAATCTCAGTGTTTCCCAAGCATCATCTCCACCTAGGTAAAATGAAGACTGCGGCCGATATTGTTGAGGCCACCACCTGCAAACGGGTGGGTGCCTGAAACGCGGGAGGAAATCAATATCCGCTGCAGCGGAGCTTATAGCACCCCTGGGAAGATCCAGCCCAAGGCACGCTGCAGCCCTGTCTCACACTGACGACACAGCTGTACCTTGGTTCTACCACCTTTTCCGAACCGAGGGGGAGGCCCTCAGAAGAGCTGACTGCTGCTCTGGCTTCTGCTGCGTGGCTGTCAGACACCCTTACTCCCAACCCTTCCCGCTTCTGACAGCCATGGCTCTTCAATTGCAAGAAGCCCAAGGTACACAGAGTGTACTTCAAGGAGCTTGGTTGTTTCAGGAGTGAGAAAATTACACTTGATGGGGTTATGCTACCAAAAGCAGCCTGCCTGCCCTCGTGAAGCACTCTTTCTGGTCTACCTGTCTTGCTGAGAGGTGAGCTACACTGGCTGTATGGCTTCTGGCTCTCAAGCTACCCTGATACTAGGATTCCTACACAGAAGACCCAGCTCTGGCCATTTCCTTAGGCTTTTCTGGGAATTCAGCAAGTATTTTGAATGTTTTTGCAGGAGCTACACAATTTGGTCGGAAGCAGTTTGCTTTTTTGAGACTATTCCAAGAAAACAATGAAACCATGAAGAAAAAGAGAGTCAGATCACATTTTAACAGGGGTATCTGATACCCTAATGTTAGCCCACAGTTTCGGCACGATCATTACAATGCTGAAAAATCCTACTCGCTTTACCCTGCATATAGCTAAGTTAACTGAAATCGCTTGAATCTGCATTAAAGCAAAGCACTAGAGTCTGAAGCTTTCCATTAATAAAAGAGGACTTACCTGTAATCATAGTTAGAGCTGATAAACTTGCTAAGGCTGGGATATCAAGGTTAAGGCTCTTTAAGTTTAAGGAAAAGTCTTTAATAGAGTCGAGCCACTCCCCAAATCCACGAAGGCACTGAAGTCTATGAAGCACAAGTCCATTGCAGAATACAAACTTATCCTCAGCAGTATCAGACCTCAAATAAAAATAATTGAAAAAATTATAAATGCATCTTCTACTTTTACAGCAAAACGCATAACCAGTATTGAAGTGCCTGTCATTTAAAATCCAAGGCATATTATCCTGAGACATATGTGGGCATTCACGTTTGACAATATGCTTCTCCCTTGGGGCCAGAGTACAACAAACAAGCTTCTATGATTGCTTACTTGGTAGAGTTATAAGCCTGAGGTTAGCTGTAGCATGTGGTGTAGACTGTCTAATTAGTTAAGATTTTGGTCCTGCCCAAAGGCATAAACAGAGAAGACATTTTACATTAAATACTGTATGTCTGAACCAAAGGAATACGAAGTGAGTGCATTTTGAAACACGAAACTAATACAAACTGCAGAAAGACGAGATTCTGCAGCTCTCAGCTTTTACTCAGCCTCATCTGCATTTTTCAGATTGTAAAAATTGATGAGGAGAAAACAACGGGAAACACATGCCATAATGCAGCACGAGACACTTAACATCATTGACTCTTTTATATGAAAACCTGTGCGTAAGAGAGATAGTACAGCCAAGCTCTCCTCTCCTTCCCCTCCCCATTGCCAATATATATCCCTGCTAAAAAACGCATGCAAAGGCCATTTTCAACCTAAAGAAACAGAGGCATCATTCAAATCACCAGTCTGGAATTCTTCCGGTCCCTGAAAGTGTTTTTGGGAAAGTGTCTTAACGAGTGCTACACTGACAAGTAGCATCTGACTCTGTTAAATGACTTGGTGTGAAGAAGAAAAACAATCTGAACAAGATTTTACATCTTCTTCAGCCCTTTCAAAATCAGGCGACAAAGATGTGCGTGCGCCAAAGAAGGGGGACAAGGAAAAAGCTTTCACACCGGAGGTGCTTTTCTGTCGTTTATGCTGATGGGTGTGAAGCAAACTTGCTCAAACAGTACCTGAGGATCGATTTCGATTACCATGGAAGAAGAGGATGGGGTATATCAAAGAAAAAGCAGCACATTAGCAAGACCTATGCTCTCATTTTAAATCACTTTCTTGCTTTTTCTGCAGCGTGAAACAAATTAAACACCGTATCCTTCGGATGCAGATATTGCTGATGTTTCCTGCGTTTTTTGGTACAATTGACAACGTTCAAAGACAGCGCCGTATTTATTCCTTAAAAAATATTTAGATGGATGATTTTTCACATCAGCTTAAGAAGAAATGAAATAAATAGTTACCTGATGGAGAGTCTTAGTACAAACAGCTCCAAAAAAGCTGATTCTATGAGTAATGTCTGATCTTCTTTTGGGAGGTCAGTAAATCCTGGGATTTTTTCTGCCCAGCCTCTAGTTATGTCAATGGAGGCAGTCAGAAGATTATAGAACTGTTGTACATGTTCTGCATCTGTGCCTGCAGCAGCCTGATCAGTGGAACAGTACTAAAATGAAAGCCACAGAAAGCAACGTTACATGCATTTTAGGGCATTCTGTGAAATATATGGCATTACTTGCCCGACAACATTTCCTTCTGTGGCAAAGCTGGTGTTATTATCAAAGGCATAATAAGTAGGTCTACATCCATCTACCTGCTTGGCTACCTACAGGCGTTTTGCTATTCAGGTGTATATTGCAAAAATATTTCCACACGTATAGGAACCATCTAAAATTTATAGATAGAATGTAATACTTATCACATTTTACAGGTACCTATATGCTACTAGTAGACAGAAACAGAAACCTGGTGGGTAGGATGATTTCCATCAGACCAGAAGAGGAATACTATTTAACTTACTACAATTAAACATTTTTCCCATTGATGAATTTGTCCCAGTATGTCCAAAACGCCGATCTCTTCCAAAACCTCTCAAACTGCATTTTATCTGACAGTGATAGAGACACGTAAGATAAATCATGGTTTATCTGACACGTGCAGCACTGCTTCATTTGAATACAGAATTGGTTCAAAGTAAACCAGCTGCCCCCTATCACCTCTTCTCCTTCAAATAGAAGCTTTAAGGTTCAGGACAACCTATTATTCTGCTTATGTGGCCGTAAGTCTTCCAGGCAACCATTTGACAGCCTCAGCTCGCTCACCTTCCCCCTGATCCTCTGACAGCTCCCTCCCTGCTGTCTCCTACTTCCTCACCAGCAGATCCCTGTCACTCCCATGACGCTGCTCCGTCTCTCTCTCAGCAGAAAATACAACAGGAGCTTTCGTGGCTTAGTCCGATTCTGTCGGACATCCTCGCCGTCAGGTGGGTTATTTCTGGGAGAAGCTTCATACCTGCTCTCTCTCTGGGACTCAGCCAAGGAGAGGTTGGAGGGGGGGGGTCCTCCGTGGCCGAAAGAAGTCTGCAAGCCCTTTGGGAACAACTTTCCATGTGCAGTTAGGGCTTGAGTCCATCAGCCTAAAGGTCTCCCTAGCAACTCCCCAAGCCAGAGGGGAAGCAGAAAGACCCACATCTCTTTCCCAATCAGTAACAGTGGGCTGGCAGCCTGGGAGGACCTTATGACAGGCGTGCCACTTGGGCTGCAGAGATCACCCAAGTTGCTAACTGCAACCCAAAAGTCACCTCTGTGCAGGAAAGAGAGAGGGGGGCAGCAAGCAGAACGTCTCGGGTAGGAATCCTGTCCTCTGCATGTCCTGGCTGGAGCTGGTTGGTGTTGGTAGGTAAGGGGTGAAGGACTCAGTGTCTGAGTCGCTGATTGACTGGAGAGCCATAGCAACCCTAGAGACCTCTGGCCATCATCTGGGGTACCAGTGCCAGCCCTGAACGACTCCGTTCTGCTCACCCACCTCTAACTGCACGAGTTTCTCACGGTAAGCTCCACCTCACACCCCTAGGCGGCCAGTGAACCACGTGCCACCCCTTTTACAAAGTTCACGGGGAGACAAATCCTGCCCCAGCTACTCTGAAGGGTCCCGTGACAGTGAAGCAGGCAAAGGCCAAAATACAGAGAGGATGGGGAGCAGCAGTAGGAAAATCTGTATCCTGCATCATCTACGTGCTGAGACCCCCCATCTGAACGGAGGGGCTGAGGGTGATCAAGCAGCACGGCCTAACTACTCCTGGCACTGGGCTGTGGCAAGATGTGCCGGGTAATTAGCGAGTAGGCAAAGATCACGTGCTTTTTCAGAGACCTTGGATGCTCCAGACCCTCTTCAAATGAAGCTGTGGAGGAAGCCACAAGCAAGACGGTGGGTGTCTTGGCCCTGGGAGATGTGTTTTCCTGTGGAGGGGCTGACCTATGTCTCCTCCTTTCTACACAGGGAAACCAACAGGCTGATGGAAACTCCTGCCTCACCATAGGGATGTTAAGGCAAGACACATTCTTGATCCTTTAAGCAGTGAAGAGGGAGGAAAAGAAAAGGAAGAGAAAAAAGATACTACCCTAAGTGCTTTCTAAATATAACTCATCACAAGCCAGCGTAATTATGCCGGGTATTAATTTGCTCCCAATATTTATAAAACATCCTTTTGGCCAAAGTAAGGCAAAGTTTTAACATTTTCTAACGAAGCTGAATGCTGCATTATGTCACACAACTGTCAATGCTACGCTATGGTGTACCCCACACGGGGCACTTAATTAAATTACATGCATCTAAAAAAATTGCAACGTGTATTTGTTGTTATAGTTTATCCAGTGAGAACCATTTTAGAAGAAAGGTAAACAATTATAGGGAATTGTATAATTCTTAGATGCCGTAATACGTCACTGCTCACAACAAGGAGTTAGCATTTACAAAGAATAGCTAAAAGAAAATATTATTGACTTGTAACAGACTCATGAGCATATAAGTAACCATAAACAATATGCGTGGTTCTGCTTTATGCACCAAAATATGTGGTTTTTCCATGATTATTTCATTGAGAAGAGATGATATTTGACCTAACTTCTGACCAAGAGAGCTGGTAAGCCTGCCCTTTGGTCAGGAGGCCACGGTACAGAAGGGCTCCCGTCTGCATTTCCTAACCTGCCCTGTGCAAACTGGGGGCACGCCAGGAGAAAGCCAGAAGACAAAGCTCTGCCTTACTCCCTTCCTCAGAGCTCCTGTGGGGATTAAATGAAACCCGACGGTGTCTCAAGGCGGGGTGTGCATGCGAGGCAAGCAACAGCGACGAGGATGGTCTATCTAAAGAGATTTGGAAAGCCTGATGCTGGGGAGCCTGACAGCACGACCAAGCTCTACCCTTCGCCTGCTTTCATCAGACCATCGTCAGCTGCTACAGCTGCAAAAGCCTAACAATAACTTCTCCGCACAGAGGAGAAGCTGTTTTCCCAAAAGCCCCAGTATTTGCTTAATTTTGTGGCTGGGGAGGGGGGGGATTCTTCCCTAAAGGCTGCACTCTCCCTCCAAAAAGGCAACATTTCTATTTAAGTTGGTGGCTATTCTGCACGAATAAGGACAGTTAAAATACAAGGTCTGTTTCTCATCTCACTTACTTAGAAGTGTAAACTCGTGGAATTCTACCAGTAAAACAGGTGTGAGACCAGACTGCGGCCCTTGGCCTTTAGGGAGTTCATGAACCAAATTCTCTTCCTAGCAATTGCTTTTTGAAACCAAGTACCTAAATATACCATTGCTGTGGACTGGTAAGTTAAAACCAGTGCTGAAATGAAAAGTAGCCATGTTCTGAACAGAACCGGTTCCAATCTGTTTTGGTTTAAAATTCATAGCCTATGAAATTTATTTTTTGTTTGGGTTTTTTTTGTTTGTTTTGGGGGGTTTGTGTGTGTGTGTGTGTAGGTTTTGTTGGAGGGAAGGGGTACACATTCCTCTCTGAAATGCTTATCAGTATTTTTAAGACAGTCAAGGCATTACGGCTTGTAAACATGAAGACCGTGCTAAACATTAAGGTCGTGTCTGCAGAAGTGTTAGAACTGACTCCAAAGCCAGGTTTCCAGATCTACCCACTTGTGGTGCTCAGCAGGGTCACAGCCTTGCCGAACGTGCCCTAAGTTAGTCTTTACAGGTGCAGGATTAGTCTTCAAAGGGATTTTTTTAGCATTGCAGTGTGTTCACAGCATATTTCAGTTAGTTAATCTCAGTTTTTGCACAGCGTTTGTTTCTGATCTCCCTGAACTTTTCAAAATAGGTATAAGGTTTATGAAAAACATAAGAACCTATTAATTTCTTTTGGCATGTTTTTGTCTTTTCAGTACTGCTGAGCATAACTATTACACATTTTATTGTGAAGAAAAACTTAGATATTAGTATGTCCTACCAGACAATCATACTTAATCTTCTAGCTACCAAACCTAAATTAATTTACTGTCAATCATATGCTTCCTGTAATGTCCAACAGAATTGTCCAACAATTAGATCTATGGGCTGTTTTCATTAAAAGAGAAATAATTACCGCAGGACAAAGAAAAAAAGTCACATAAACCCACACAGTTTTCATTCAGTTTTTTGCAAATGCAGAAGAACTTTGTGTCTATAAACAAATGCATAGGGTTAGATACTGCTTTCATGGCCTGGGCTATTACAGGCCTGTAATTCTGTGGAACCCAGCAGGTTTCTGTCAGAGAGCACAGCTCGTCACACACACCTCGGTATTTGCAGAATGACCCCCTGAGACATTCTGGGTAAGTTAAAATACGGGTAAATATGGCTAATGCATTCTCCCCCTAAAAGGCTGTCACATACTGAACAGCTAGATTCTTAATAATAATTTGGAAAATTATATGATTGTATACTTACAGATTAGCTTGAAGAAAAAAAAGATGTTACAGCCTGCTTAAAATTGCTAAGTGATACATGTAACTACAGTCTGAAATGCAATAATGTATTTTCTACATAATTACAATCAAATATGTTTTAGTATTAAATACTACTCAGCCACAAGTGATAAATGGCCAATGTAGACATTGTCTGAGCACAGCTGTACTTTTTAGAGTCTCAGATTTAATCATATTTCATTAAGGGGAAGGAATTTGATCTTGTTTTTCTTTAGCTGTATTTTTTTCTTTTCCTATACCAACCTGCCTAAAAATGTACTTAACAAGCCATTTCCAGACTGTATTTTAATAACTATAGAACAGTTTTTTAAGCTTTCAGAATATTCCATGAATATTTAAATGGTGAATATCATATATTAAAGAACCATGTTACAAAAATATATAAACTCTGGTAAAGCTTTGCTGAGATAGGTTTTTAGAATTTTGATTTTAAAAGGTTTGTTTTACAAATGTGAAGAAATACCCATGCTGGGCTATCCGAAGCCAGACCTTGGTCCCATTTAAGTAATGGCAAAATTCCCACTGATTTCAAAAGAAATGGCCCTGTCCATCAGTGTTACTTTCTGCAACCCTTGTATCTGAATATTAGGGAAGTGCTACTAGATTTTAGCCTTCAGAACCTGGAAATTAAGATACTGGACATGAGTGCTGCTCCTGAGTTTGGCAGACTAATCGATCGTAGTGTAATTGCCAGTGTTTTGGCAATTCTTCTTTTGCAAGAAGAATGCTCTATTTATCCACGCATTTTTGCTCTCACTCTCCCATGGAATAGACTGCAGGTAGCTTTGTGATTGAGACCCTCACGATGAACAGTTAGCAACAGCAATTTCTACTGCACCTCCTTTCCCCTCATCATTCACCTGCCGTGAAAAGACATGGCTGGCCGGACAAATTTCTACCCTCATCCAAATTTCACATTTCACTTCATTTTGGCAAACGGGCTGGTAAGTAGAAAGGCAGTTGGCGAGTTATTTCGAGGTGGAAAGCAAACGGGTAAAGAAAAGCGAGACATACTCTTGAATAGTCAAGCTCCCTGGGCGTGGAGTCGGTTAAAGCTCGTACGAGGGCGTTCATCATGCTGATGGGAGGAGAAGGCGGGGAGGGCTGAGAGGGTTCTTGCTGTAAGGGGCTCTTTGGTTTGGAAGGCAGCCGACCTCTTCTCCCCTTCAGGCTGTCGGTACGGACAACTAGGGAAGAAACCAAAAGGGGATCAGTTGTGAAGATACCAGCAAACGACGGGGCAGAATGAACCCCTGCTTTTCTCACGGTGGCCGGCACAGCAAAAATAAGAGCGTTCTCCAGTTTCAGCACGTGCTCTTGATGCCTTTGCTTGCGAAGGAACAGAAAGGATACCAAAATGGTGTCAGAGCTACGATGATAAGCAGCAGTGTAGCTGCTTCCGTAAAGCCCGGCTGCGTTCCTAGTGTTCACGCCTTGTTCGCAGCACGTCTGTGTGCCCGTGCACGCGCGCAGAGACGCGGGCGGGCTGAAAGAAAACTGAATGTGAAACGCAAATTCGGATGTTCCTACTACTGGCGCGCCTTCTAAACGGCAGGGTCGGTCATTCCAAGTAATGTTGGCTTTGTTGAAGCGTTTGAAAAAATGTGGTCACGCTGCATAGGTTGTATTATCCATGTTAGGATTTGCGATGGGACCGCTCACACGGTGTTACTCACATACTTAAATATTTGCAGAATTGGGGCTAATGAGTTGATCCTGTTTCCATTTAAATTAATTGCAAGTTTACACTCAGCTTATGGGAATGAGACAAGTGCCTATGATGTCAAAATGCACACAATCCAGCGCAGCCCCCAGTGAGATAGCAGGGGGAAGCCAACAGCATTATCGAGCAACGTTCAAAGTTAATAAAGGAGACATTTTGGCCAGTGTCAAATTATCCTCCTGTGACCTTGCTGTTCTTGAACTCTGCGGTCTGAAGTCTAAATATGATAATATGGGTGAAAAGAAGAAAATCAATGCATTGTTACACAAATGCACATATTTTGGGGCAAGTTAATAATTCCACCAGTGTTAAAACCGTTGTAAAGACATACTGTCCACACATGCACACACACAGAGATTCAGTAAACGTAATATTTCAGTGTCTGGGATAATAATAGCAATAGTCCTTACCTTCTTTAACCATGCCGACGCTGAGACACTTCTGAAACCGGCAGTATTGGCATCTGTTACGACGTCTCTTGTCCACTGGGCAGTTTTTATTTGCCAGACAAACATATTTTGCATTTTTCTGAACTGTTCTCTGTGAAAATGCAACACAGAAACAGTAAACTGATCGTTTCTTGAACAACTTAGAACCTGACAAAATGTGTTTTAATTACAACATGAAAAGCGACAGTGCAATTCATATAATTAGATAAAATTAATTTCCTAACACACTAGCCTGCAGGAAAAACAATTTTATTAGTGTTAGCTGCTGACAATGAAAATCATCTAGGATTGTTCTGAAGCAAGTCTCTGGAGACAGGCAACTTTGAATGATAAAATCATATCTGAAATTATCAGGTCATCACATCTACCTTTGGGGATTAGATTATCTCCGCTTTTAATATCCCTTTGGGAACAATTTTCTACTTGGTTCATTCCCTTGATTATTGCTGACCTTATTAAAATAAAATCAAAATGATCTGCAATGCACTTCTCTCGCTATCGCTATTGTTAGTCAAATACCACAATAACTGGTTTGGTTAGCCATTAAAATCATCAGGGAGAAAAATAAAAATACCAGAAACCCCTACCAAATATGTTTAGTTAAATATTCTGGGAAAGCGAACCTGACCTGGGGAAGAAAACATTCAGAATCATACTGTGGTTATATGCATTTAATTAACACTCAAGTGATCTTTATACAGTAAATTTAGAATTTGTAAAAACCTGGTAAGCCTTGAGAGCATGTAAAAAATATTAATGCAAAAACTTACTCTGTGTTTCCACACTTAAAATCAAAGATACATCAATAAATAACTCAGCACCGAAAAAAGACATTGATAGGAAAGACATCAGAACAGGAACAAATTTATCACCTCCACATTCAATCTTAAATCTTTCACTGCAATTAAATTAATGGAGAAATGTTGTTTCATTATTTGTGTTCCTTTTCAAATAACAGCCTCAATGTACTAAATATAAGAGAGGCAGCAAATATTGCTCACTGTGCTTTGGAGCTGAAACCTTGTTTAATTTTGCAGAATAAGCCCTAGATACTGCTCCCAATCAAGGGTATGCTATTGATTTCCACAGGGGCAGGATCGGGCCCGTAAGAGCTGCTATTTCCAGGTTATTCGTGTTCCCTTTTCTGGTTATATTTAAATAACAAATGAGGTTTATAGCAGCTGTGTATTTTACCATGTTGTGTCACAGGATTCTTATTAAGTAACATTAGCAGCTCCGTCTACAATTAAAAAAAAAATGTTGTCAGCCCTCCCCCCAACTATTTTTGGACTGGTTTTGTTCCCTTCATATCTTTTCCCAGAACAGGGACGCGACTGCTAGCTTTGCAGAATATACCAAATCAACCCCAAACAACGTGTCAAACCTTAAACCTGCTGCCCAGACCCATCCTACCAAAAGTCTGTCCCCAGTTCTTCACTTAAACAAGCTACTTTTGAAAATAATACTGGCATCTGAACTCAGCCTGTTGAAAGGAAACTACGAAGCACCCAAATCTAAGAGCGAAAAGAGAGTGTTCGATTCTTAAAAACACAAGCACAAAGTTTCCACTGAGAAACTGCCATGTGTGAGTTATTTGTGTTGCTGCTCAGCTGCAAAGCCTTCTCCGTTACAGGGCAGGTACCGGGACCCTGTGCAGTGCTTAGTCACTGCTCTGCAAGCAGCTCTCCACCAGTAAGGGCTCACTGGGCTCCTCAACTGGAGAGTAACGACGAGGCAGCAACCAAATAAAACCAGAAGCGCTTGGGTTTGTCGCACGCGTGAAACCAGTTTCCTCCTGGTGGCGACCCCACAGCCCGCCTCGCCCCAACCGCCCCAGGACCCGCCAATGGCACCGCCGCCATCAACCGCAACGTCAACTGGACTTGACGATTTCAGGGTTTCTTTTCTTGCTTAAAAACGAGGTTTAATTGGAACCAGGGACCGAGTAAAACCCAGGCTGGGTGTTCCAGGTGAGTTTTGGTACGGAATAAATTTATAGCTCAGACAGGGGTGCCCCGTGCCCCGCTGAGGGATGCTGGCAGACCAGAGATGTGGTTCGCCCAGCTCACCGCCACGGCCCTTTCTCAGCTGAGACTGGCTGATCCTTTTATCCTACGGAAGGCTTGTTTTGGCCTTCTGCAAAAATTTGGGGTGGGCGTCCACCCCGCCTGGCTGGGGGGCTCTGAGCTCTAACACCCAACGCCCTCAATGGGACGAGGGTGCGTGCTGGGGCCGGTGGGGAGGGCGGGGAAGCTGGGGGAAGCGGGGGAAGGAGCAAACCGCAGAGCTCTCACCTTGAAAAAGCCCTTGCAGCCCTCGCACGTCCGTACCCCGTAGTGCTGGCAGGCGGCATTATCGCCGCAGAC